ACTCTTCCTCACTCCAAATAAGATTTGAAATTACACAGAAAAGCACAAACCAACAAGACAAAAAAATAATAGAAACAGGAGGAAGGAAAAATAAAGGTGTTGGTATGAGCCAGGTTGCTCATGCACTTCTTTATCATGAGAAATGGAACTTGTAGGCAATTCAGAGCCCTCAGTTCACCTGGGTCCTCACACTCTCTTCCCTGCCGGAAACCCTTTCTGGGAAAGCCAAAATAGCCAGAGGCTTCCATGGGGAGGGCGAGGAATATGGAGTCTAAGCAAAGGAAATGGGGCTATCTTTGGGGGCGGGTCACAAACCACAGTCCCAGGGCTCCTCTGTCCTGCCCTTGCTATGGCCGATGAGTTCCTGCTTTGGCCTCTGCAGTGTCTTTTAAGTCTCTTCTTTTAAAATGGAAATATATTTGGAAGAGATAATATATTGTCATTTACTTTAGCCAAGTGTTTCCCAAACTTCATTCATGTCCTCTCTTTACAGTCTTGCCATATTCAAATACTATTTCTTTTTTTTTTTTTAAGATTTTATTTATTTGACAGAGAGACAGAGAGTACAGATAAACAGAGCGGCAGGCAGAAGGAGAGGGAGAAGCAGGCTCTCCGCGGAGCAGGAAGCCCGACGTGGGGCTCAATCCCAGGACCCTGAAATGACCCGAGCCGAAGGCAGCCGCTTAACCAGCTGAGCCACCCAGGCGCCCCTATTTCTTTTTTTTCTAAGTACCTCCAAAACTTTTGTTCTAAATAATATACGTGAATGTGAAAGCTTGTTATGCTATATATTTTTTAATACTCATGGCAATAAACCCATAGAATTAAAGTGATTATACATCATCTTGCATGCTACAGAAAGTTTATTAAGTGAACTAGGATTCCATCCTTGTTTAAAAAGTTGTGCATGGAAGTTAAAATTTTGCAATCCTTACCTTACCGACCAAAAATGTCTATATTTTACTTTAACCTTGCATTTATAGTTTGGCTAGGTGCAGAATTTTGGGTTGAAATCATGTCCTCTCAAATCTTTGAAGGCATTTCCCCAACACCTTCGAGCACCCATTGGCGATGTTGTGAGAGGTCAGAAGCTGGTCTAATTCACAGTCTTGTTTGTTCCTTTTTTTCCTCTCTGAAAGTTCTTTTATTCCTTTTATCTTTAGCATTCTAAAATATAACAGGTTGCTTAGTTGTTTTGGGTTTTTGTTTGTTTGTTTCTTTGTTTCACTGGGGTTTTTTTGTTTGTTTTTAAATTCATTTTGCTATACATGAGCTCTTTTAACCTAAGCATTGTGACTGCTGAGCACTAAGATTCTACTTTTGGATATTTTTTCCCCTTCAATTTTCTGTGCTGTTTCTGGGACACCTATTAGTTAGATGTGGGACTTCCTGGATTGGGTCTCAGTGTTTCGTGCCTGAATCAGTCAGAGTTTGATCAGGAAAACAAAAGCCTTTCTGTGTGTTTTCAGTAGGAAATGTTTTAATACAAGGAAAAAACATTGGAAAGGCCGGAGGAGGGCAAGTTTCTTGAACTGTTACTGACTAGCTCAGTGTGCAATCCCAGCAGTGATGTTCACCTTGCAGCTGCTTCAGACCTCGTAGGCATCTTCCGCCTGTGTGTCTGATGACCACTGCTCTGGGGAACAACGCCTCTATTGTTCCACCTTCCAAATTACAGATACCCCCTGCAGGCTCTAACCTGAAACGTGGGGGGGGGCACAGTCTGGGAGATGCAGGTTCTGCTTCTTTGTGGTGCAGAGAGGTCCTTAGCAGGGGCAGCAGACATGCCAAGGTGACAGAGACAATCCAGCACAGTGACCCTGGCTCTGTGCAAATTCTAAATGCAGCACATATTAGCTGTGACCTGGGGGAAAGTTCCTAATTGCTTAAGGCCTTCTTCATCTCTCCCATTGTAAAGAGAGGGAATGATATTACTAGCTACCTCACAGATTTTCTGGGAGGACTGATTGAAATAATGCATGGAGAGGGTATAAATCAGTGCCTGGCACATATTCAAGTGCTTTTAGTATATGTTGGCTATCTAATTTTCGTTATTACTATTTAATTACAGTTTACCTTACATTTCCACCAATGTCATTTTGCTCTAAATTTTGAAAAAAACTTCTTCAACATGGTTTTCCAGACTATCCATTTTTTTTATAACAGTAATAATTTTAATCACTAAGGAAAATGTATTTAATAATTTATTTTTATTTATTTATTTATTTGACAGAGACATAGAGAGCACAAGTAGGTAGAGAGGAAGGCAGAGAGAGAGAGAGAGAGAAGCAGGCTCTCTGCTGAGCAGGGAGCCTGATGCGGGACTCGATCCCAGCACCCTGGGATCATGACCTGAGCCGAAGGCAGCCGCTTAACCAACTGAGCCACCCAGGTGCCCCAGGAAAATGTATTTAGATTGTTCTTTTTTTTGGTAACATCTTCTTCTCTGAGTTTATTCTTTTTTAAAACATGCTTTTTTTTTTTTAAGATTTTATTTATTTGACAGAGAGAGACACAGCGACAGAGGGAACACAAGTAGGGGGAGTGGGAGAGGGAGAAGCAGGCTTCCCGCTGAGCAGGGAGCCTGATGCGGGGCTCGATCCCAGGACCCTGGGATCATGACCCCAGCCGAAGGCAGACACTTAACGACTGAGCCACCCAGGTGCCCCTAAAACATGTTTTTATTTTTTTAAGATTTTATTTATTTATTTGAGATAGAGGGAAAGCAGGGGGTGAGGGAGGGAGAGAGTGAAGCAGGCTCCCCACTGAGCAGGGAGCCCCACGCGGGACTCAATCCCAGGACCCCGGGATCATGACCTGAGCCGAAGGCAGATGCTAAACTGACTGAGCCACCCAGGGGCCCCCAAACATGCTTTTCTTTTAATAAGGTCTTGGGAAGATGAAGAGGTAAAACCTTGGGTCTGTCTAGTTTGTCATTTTGCGCAGAAGCTGACCGCATTGGATCAAGAGGCTCGGTGGCAGTGGTTATTCTGCAAGCGTTGTGCCAAGCGCGTCACTTTCATACTCTCACCCAGTTCGGCTCAATCCTAAAACACAGGTGGTAGTATTGTCCTCGCTTCTAAAGATGAGATAACTGAGGCTTACAGAGGTCAAATGACTCACCCAGGTCACACAGCTCGTAACTGGTAGACATACATGTAATCACGGATCTATTGGTGACAGAGTTCAAGCTCTGAACCCGGGCTGCTAGATGGAGCTCATCCGAGGAGATTGCGGCCCAGTATCCTCGTGCATGCGCATGTCTCTGTGTGGCTTCCACCCGCCCTTGGCAAAATTTGCAGGTATAAACAAGCCTCACGTAGATACATGTGTACTATGGGAAATTTTTAATGCACTCTTCTATTATTGTCTAACAGCAAGTCCTAGCAGTGAATTTGCTAAGTCAGAAATTACCCACCGTGAGACATTTTTATGTGGTTTGACAAGCTGCCCTTAAGAAAGGAGGTTGCAGCATTTCGCATTTGTTATCATCTCCGTGTATGAAAGCACCTGTTTGCCACCTGCTCACCGATGGCTGGTGTTACCCAAATTTTGCCAATCTCATAAAAAGGAAATGTTATCTTCCCATTTAGATTTGCTTTATTTCATTTTTAGTGTGGCTAGACAGCTCTTCAAATGATTATAGGTCATTTAGCTTTCTTCTTTTGAGAACTGTCAATTCATTTTCTGCTCAGCTTTCTACTGGGATATTGCCTCTAGCTGGGATGGATTTGCAAGTTCTCTTCAGGGATAGCAAACTTTTTCCTGTTATTTATGTTGCAAATATACTTTCCTGTTCACCATTTCTATTTTTACCTTTCCGTATGGTATTTGTAAAAGGAGTTTTAAGTATTTGGGTAGTCAAATCTATCCTAATTAACTCTTACATATATTCTTTCTTTCAGTGGATGAAAGAATGAAACCAACATGTGAGTTGATCCATTAGGAGTGTGACTTCCCATCTGAGTTTCTAAAAGAATCAGACAACTCCACAACACGCTGGCCCAGCTTCAGGAAGTAGGTGCGCTGTTTAAGATGGTGAAAATTTTCACTTACACACTAAAGATTTACCTAAGCCAACTTAAAACTCAGAAGGATTTCCAGCTACTAAGCTTACCCTTCCAGCTTACCTCCTGCTTCAGCTGAGTGATGCTAAAGTCGGACTTGGAGTTCGGATGGTAATGGAGGTCTGTTGGGATGGGTGTGGGTAGGTCATCCCTATCCTTTAACTCTGAGCTTCCAAACTGGTACCAGCTGCTAACATCAGAAGACTTCTCTGCTATTTCTCCAGTGTTTTGTTCTTTGTCTCTGTTTCAGGTTGCTCCCAGGATAGATGAAATTCAAGTCATAACTGACTAGAGATCAGATTTATAACAAGACAGTTCACCAGGCAAAGGTCCCCGGGGTTTGGGAGAGCATGTGAGGTCTGGGCTGCAGAGAACGATTCTAAATTAAAGCTCCAAGTTCAAGGAATGTGAATGAGGCACTGGCTCTATTTCAGGGTGAGGTTTTAATTCTCCCTGTTCCTGCCTTTTCAATTAGAGGGATCTCTCTGAACCCTCCCCCTACCTTCCTTCTCCAGGGAATCAAATCTTCCTTAGTCATGGCCACCACAACTATCTTAACTCTTATATTTTCTCTTTCTTAGGATAGTTGGCTCATCTGCTCATCTGCTCTACAAGATATTGGTCTTCCTCTGGGCAAAACTGTGAGCTACTCGTTTCTGTATCTAGAGCACTTAGCAGAGTGTCAAGCATATATTAGGCACTCTATAAATGTCTTTTTATTGTATCTGTGTTAGAACAATAGAAAACATTTGATTCCAACCTGCTGTTATGACCTTGGCTTGGGGCAATTGGGAATTAATAATTTCTGATATAAGTTGATATGAAAAATAGCAGTATCCCAGTGGGAATTATGTCAGACAGTCATTCAAAGAGGAAAAATAGTGACCCTCAGATAATCCCTTTAGGGGAACAGCCAAAGACTGAGCATAACTAGACATGGTCAGAGAGTCTGTCTGCAGAATAGGAGAAAAAAATATGTCTGGAGACTGGGCTAAGCACACAGTGTAACCAAATAATGCTTCAGCCATTGTATCCGTTGATCAGTTTACTCAAATTTCATTGGTTAATCTTACTTAACAAATCATGTAAAATAAGATAGTTATGAGATATGAATTTGGCATGCCACAAGTTACTTGAAGACATATGAAGTTCAATATAATTAACTGACCCTGAGATTCGTGTAGACATCTCAGAAGAATGTTTTACATGCCAAAGCTTCTTGTAGTGCGCCTTTTCTAAAAATGATCAAAATGCATTGCAGCAATTTTAGAGAAGGGCTATGCTATCAATAGAAGTCCTTTAAGCCCATGTTTTGGACAAACGTTTGCTAATTAATTCCAGAAATTAAACAAGTACCTAGATTTTTTGTAACCTACATCCAGGAATAGTTTAAAGATTTTTCTTTCTGCAAAACTGATCTAATGTCTTTCTCATATCAAAATTCTTTCCATGCATTGCACACACACACACAACTTGTAAATTATTTTAGGTTTACTGCAATTACATCAAAACACTTGGTGCCCCCAAATGCCTGAAGATTTATAGCATGAAAATTTCCTCTGTTGAAAATGCTGCCTCTTTGCCTTTCAGACTAGTGGGCAGTAAAAACATGGGATTATTAGGAACAGTCTCTTAATTTTCTGGAAAGTCTCTACTGGATAAGCCCCTCCTTACCTTCACTGTCTGGCAGAGTGATGGGCACAGATAGAAGAACACTTATGGACTCTGACTCCCTTCACTGTGTGCTGAGTGAGGACTAAGGGTAGATGTGTGAATGGCCAGATGGCTTTTGGAAAGTAGGAAAACAGGGCTTTCTATTGCTCCTGAAACACTTTTTCTCCTACTAGAAGACTGACAAGGCTGGAGAATCCAGCCCAGTACTGGGAACTCAGTTCAGTTCAAGAAGGGATGGTGTGCTCCCGGACTCTATAGAAGGAGCTGCGACAGTACTTACTGGTGCTTGGTCACTTGGTTATCAGCATTAGAGAATGATGAGACTGTCCCATGGGAGTACACTGAGGTCTGTTTTTGAGCTACATTTGACATTGATATAATGTTTCTTGGAATCGCGGGCCATTTTGGTTCCCTGGCCTCATTAAGGGTTGGTATACTGTTGAATCATAAGCTTATTTTCTTCCTAACCTGCCTTAACTGGATGTATTTGGTGGGTAACCCAAGGGTGAATTTTGGTGGGTGGTTGGTTGCTTTGTGGCTTCTGAAAAGTGAGCCTAGCTAATATGATTGTGGACAGTATCAACTATGCATCTGTGTTACCCATCCCTTTCCCCAAGAGACTACCTGAGAAGAAGCCAGTTAGATATTGGAAATAGAGTCAAAACGGAGAAGTATGAAAACTCAGTAACATACAAACGGAGAAGTGTGAAAAGTCACTTGAAGAACCTGCCAGGAAACCAGTCTATTCTTACTGAATTCATGACGTTCCCCATCACTCCAAAAATTACCAGAGATCCCTGGGTGATAGTAACTAATATTGTCTTTTCCTCTCTCATCTTTAAAAAGGGACAAAAAAAAATGGATAGCAAAGTGATGCAACCTCTGAATGCTGCCAAGACATGAGACCATTGTTGCCTCATTTCTTTCAGTGCTTTTCTTGTGGGGCCAGAAGTTCCTAGCCATGACTTGTGAATATGGTTCTGCAGGGACTTAGAGCTCCCTGGGCATGGGTCTGAAGTGATAAGTAGACCCGCGTGGGCTGTGATACTACACACTTTCTTACTAGCACTTCCAGTCCTGCCTTGGTGCTTGGTGAGATTAGCAGTTTCCTTTGAACGGTACTGCTCTGGGCTGCTTTCCCATTGTCACAGTGAGCAAGCATTATACTTTCCTTTCTGTGGGAGAAGTAGAGCAGAGAGGAGTGAAGTAACCCCAGGGGTGAAAAATAAAAATTATCCACGTTGGACTGGAACGTCATAATTCTGTCAGTCATCCTGATGGCCATTCATTTCTGCAGAATATAAAAGGGAAACCAGAGTCTCTCCCAGGAAAACTGCCTTTTGAGTTCAAGCCCTCAGGGAAGATCTTTGATGCATTGTTCTTCTTCCTTGTTGTGCCTTCTCTTCATTACAAATAGCCTTTCATGAAGCTTACAAGAAGGGACGTGAGCACCAGCACCCGGTGAGCAACCCCCTAGGTGAGTAACCCTGGGCAGGGCAGCTGGGAGGCAGCAGCTCAGGGAGGGGCAGGAGGACACAAATGGTCTCAGGATCCAAAGCAAACTTGCAGCTCTTCCAGAGCCCTTGACCACTGTTTTGTGAACTTAAGAGGAGGTGCAGATCTGTCCCTCACTCTTCCGCCTTTTGCTTATGATGTCGCCAACACATACAGTTCCACTGGACACACTGCCATGTTCCTGTAACCTTGGGCAAGTCACGTCACCTTTAAGGGCTTTTGTTTATTTATAGAGGGAGGATGATAGTCCGGACTGGCGGCTCGCTGGAGCTCCCATCCGTGATACACAGGGGTGGCAAAGCTGAGCTGATACACTGTCAGGGTTGGTGCGGGAGGGAACTCAGAGGCGGTTGCCTCCATTTTCCAGCTGCGTGGGCTCCTTCTCCAGAAAAGATGGATGCCCACCTTCTCCAATCTTATAACAGCCTTGGACTTTCATTCTTGAGATCTTTTTAGCAGTTTCTTATTCCCACAGCTCATTTACCTAAGAGATAGCGAAAGTGGCTCAAGAGAGATAACATCCATTTGTGTATTTTCTTTTTAAAAGAACTGTTGATCTTCTCTAGTTTTTCATAAAAGACGGAATATTAAAACTGGAGGAGACCATAACAAAATCATACACACCCATCTCCCCGCCTCCATTGTTTAAAAAAGCAATTGAGCCCGAGAGAGCTGAAGGGATTTGCTCCGTGTTGCATAGGCAGCATGCAGCAACAGCACAATCGGACCAAACCAGTGTCCGCTCTGTTGGGCCATCTGTTACTGGACCGCTGGAGAGCAAGTAATCGTCAAAGCACCGTGCCCACCACGCCACAGGTTAATACTTTTCCTTCTTTTCTTTAGTCATCCCTGGCAGTGAAAAAGTCTTTTTTTTTTTTAATCCTTTCTCTACTAAATTTACAGTCAACTACCAATTTATTATCATCAGTGAATATTTATTGAGAACTCATAATCTTCAGAGTACTGTACAAAATATTGTGGGTTTTTTTTTTAGAGTGAGAAAGCACGCACGCGAGCACTTGCGCAAAGGCAGGAGCAGGGGGAGGGTCAGAGGGAGAGGGAGAGAGAGAACCTTAAGCAGGCTCCACGCCCAGCATGGAACCCAACACAGGGCTCAATCTCAGGACCCTGAGATCATGACCTGAGCTGGAATCAAGCATCGGATGCTTAACCGACTGAGTCACCCAGGCGCCCCCAGAGTATTGTACAAATAATTAAAAGTATGTGTGCACACATCCACAGACACAGACCCAAACAAGGGACTCTAAGGAGGCTGTGGTTTGGCTCACTAGATAAATTAAAAACCTTCAAGATTATTCAATCTTCTTTCAAAAACTGTGTCTAACATGTTTCTCGGAAAGAGTAAGTGACGACAACAGAGCTGAGGATGACCCCATCAATGAATGTTTGTGGTTATTCACAGTGAAGATGCAGAAAGTAAAGAATCAAAACTGAGTCACCACCAAGAAGTTTAAAAGTTGGCACCAACCCACAGAGCAAGATAATGGTGGAGTCAGGACCAGGGTGCCTCTGTCGGGCTATGTTTTATGTTCTATTGGTCGGACTCTAAGTTACCAACACAACTATATTCTATAATAATAACTCTTGCCAAGGGTTCTTCCATCTTGCAAAGAGAAACCAGATGAAATGAATTTTGGTAGAGCACAGTCAGACATTGGGAGGCCTAGCCATTGGTTCTTGCCTATATTCAGGATTTCTACTCAGGAAATAAAGCTCAATTTTGTGGAATACATATATTTGAACTTGAAGGTATATCTTTTGAGGATGGAGGTACTGGTTTTCTTCAGGTCATAGAGAACCTACCATCTGCTCCTTCACTGCAACATCTTTGCTTGGCCTCTGGGTTTTCTTTTTTTGCAACCTGCTCACTTACTAACCACAAGTTTTCAGCTGGGTGCATTGTGACATCTAATGAGATTACAACAAGGCAGGCCCATGGCCAGCCATCACTACACAGAAAGACACAAGAGCCCCAGCTAAACACATCATATAAGGCTTATCTTAAGATATGAATCCTTGAAAATATCAGCTCAGCGATGACAAAAAAGAATTCTGCCTAGTTAGAGTTCTCTGCAGGAAGTATTTTTGATATTGTTTTGGCTTTAGGAAAAGAAAAACAACTAGACTTCGGGGGGTTACCTAAGTGCACAGTGAAACTGCAGATTCAAACGGTTTGAATCCTGTCCTCCAAATACAGAAGTCTTATGTGAAAACAATCTCATTTTCATTTTGCTTTCTGGGAAACCCTCCAAGGCATGGTGCATTGCCAGCTCTTTGTGACCTTCAGTTCCCTAACTGCTCCCAAGGGAAACTTGACCTAGGAACTGTCAAGAGGAGGGGAATGAGTTGGTGTGGGGCAGGGCAGAAGTTTCATTCTCTCCGCTCACTGCTCAAAGTGAATGGGTCCTCCTGCACCAAGACCTTTAGAGCCTCTGAGGGCATGGAGATGGGGACAAAAAGTGCAATGAAAATACACATTAACCCGAAAGCAAGGATGCATATAACAAGACTGTCACATGGGATGGAGACTTAGCTGGCCAGCCAGGAGAAGTTCCCAGTGAAGCATTAGGAATAAAAACTTTTGGTCCCCACAGATGCACAACTGATGAAGTTTCTCCCTGACTCCTCAGAGCATCTTAGGACTGAAATGAAATTCATAGGGCACAAGAATGCCGGCTGTAACTTTAGCTGGCTTCTAGAAGTATTGGGACACCACTCATGACAGATACCCAATCTGTAGGAAGAGTTCCTTAGGTTTTCTTGCTTGACCACAGGACACCATCTGGTCAGAGAGTTAACCAAGACAGGAACTGTCTATATCAAGAGACCCCCTACCTACATATGGTATATACCATCCCACAGGCCTGCAACCAGTGGTTTCTGACCTTTTGCCTTGCAAGAATTCCTTTGATCTCTTAACTTTGCTTATGGGCACATGGCTTGAATTGGCTTTTGCCTTTAGGGCAGATTTTATTAAGTATCCATTAGTATCTTCATTTCCACTACTCAGTGAAAATCTAATTAGAGTAACAACATTACCACACTGACCTGATAGAATCTCAGCCAAAAGCAAAGCAATCAACATTTGAGTTGGTCTTTGTAGCCCAAGAACAGGCTTTCTAGTCAGTTGGCATTTTTAATTTCTGAAAATGGCTTTTATTGTCCCATTCGCACATCTGTGAGCCCGAAGAATCCAGAAAACTGCTTGTGTATTAGGAAAAAAGAGCAAAGAATTTGGATTCGCGAGACCTATGGGATTTGTGAGCTGAGTGACATTGAGAAGGGCACTCGCCTTTATTGAGTGTCGGGTTCCTTGTGTGAAAGGATGTGTCTGAACATGACACCGCCCTTACGGGGCTGTGAAGAAAATGAAAGAAAACCATATGGGGAGTTTTGACGTATTTCCCTTACTCAGAGAGAGAGATTGGACTGCGGAAATAAAAGGTCCTGGTACAATAAATGAAAAAATTGTCTCTATGTTACATTAAAATCAAACAAATCAACAAAACAATGTTTGTTGACCAGAAGAAGAGGACGATTTTCTTTCGCAATTTCAGAAAGGGATCAAAATGCTGAACTGAGGGTGAGGAGTGTGTGTGTGTGTTGTGTGTGTGTGTGTGTGTGTGTTACTTCCCTGGAGGAGAGGAAAACTACTCTGATACTGGGTTTTATGCCTGCATAGGATCAAGAACACCTGGGGGAGGGAGTCATAAATATATACTCTGAGGATCCAAGCTAATAATTTAGAAAGGACTCCATTCTCTTTTACACTTGGAATACAAATAACATAGATACCATTGGGTATTTTTCCCAAAACAGAGTGCTAAAGAATATGGGCTTTGGCCAGACAGACTCCAGTTTAAATTTCACCTCATCTTACTATCCAATATGTGTGAATTGAGCAAATTGCATAAGTTTATTATAAGGATTAAATTTTTTTTAAATGTAGATAAAAAAAGACAGTAGTTCATTTCCTGGTTGTCAGAGGCACTGGATAAAGGTGAAATGTTGTTATGAGTCCGTGTATTTCAGCTCCAAATTTTTCCCTTTATCCTAATGCTTTAGGTCACAAAAATGATAGCCTGTGAGTACAGTTCATGCGGGGTCAGCTGTCTCCGAACATGGCACCTACTCAATGCCTTTGTTATCACACTGAGGTATGTATGAGGTGGGTCAGTATAAAAAGCAAATTCTCTGTTCAAAGATATTTAGCCAACCACATCTCACAGTGGCATTTCTTTATCTTGATCTTGTAAATGCTCAGGAATTGTGGCTGCTTTGGGATTTCTGCCAGACAGCTAATGGAATTTTTAGGGTGTATCCGAACGAAAGTGAAATGGAGGTTGGTAGGAAAGGAAGACCTTATGCATTTACCGCTTGAATGACACCAACAAGCCATTTGGACTCCAGGCTCACATGGGTCTCTTTGGGTTGCAGTTACCAGGAGTCTTGATATGATAGATTGCTGAAGGTTCCTCCTGCTTTAAGCCTCTTTCTGCCCAAATCCCAGGGATTTAGATGAGTGGATATGAGCTGAGGTGAAGTGAAATTGTAATTAATTTTCTTAGTTCCTGGAGAAGGATTGGAATGATGTCATAGTTCAAATGTCGTACTTAAGTTGGGGCTCATGAATTTGAGTCTCTGGAATAGAAAGGGGCGGAGATCTAGCCTGAAAATTCCCTGGGTTTACTTAAGAAATATCCAGGACTGGGAAGACTCCAGGGACCATCACTACTAGGACTGGGAACACTTCGCTTTGCTCCCCGCCTGTTCCTCCCCCTTCCTTCCCCTCCAAGAAGGTCCTGTCTCATCAGTGCTGGTGTTCTGGTTATAGTGGTACCCAGCTGGCCTCAGGCATGGCACATCAAAGGGCAGGTGGAGAACCGCTGACTCCATTAGTCAGCCTTGCTTTCCTCAGTGACCCCCCCAACGCCCACACACACCACAATTTATGTTCCCACATGTGCTTAACTCCATGACCACTTGGGAAAAACACTGGATTGGAAATGAGGCAGAATTTGGTAGAAACCGGGCCCAGCCTCTGAGTAAACTTGGGCAAATTAACTAACTTCTGGGTTCTAACTTCCTAACTTGTAAAAGGAATAATACTGTCTATCTCGTTTAGTCAATCTCAAGAGTAACTTCCCCCCACCTAATATCCAATATGCCTGAAATGGGAAGAAAAGCTGGATATACTCTCAATGGCCACCAGGGTTTTGGCTTAAGCGGATGCTATGCAGAAAGGATAGATAAGACCTATCTGTTCCTAAGGCAGCCTAAGGTATTGTGGGTAAATCTGGCCGATGCATTGGAATGTTCTGACACACTCCCCACCCCCCTCTAAGCCACCCCCTTCACATGCATTATCTATGAACATTCTCTGGAAACCAGCCAGACGCACACTTAACATTTTACTGAGTTAATATCTTCACAGAAATGTATCAGTTTCCGTAATTCTTCCCCACATTCCTGGGAGTTAGCCACAGACTCACCCAAAATCACACATGGGATTTGTGTCTGCACTACCCTCCGCAATGGCCTCCACTCCTGCATCGAGTTAACTGCCTTAGCCACATAAAAATTCCGGCCACAAACCACACTAAAGGGGATACACTTCAATTCCATAAATGATTGACAAAATAGTGTCAAACATTACCTTGTTGAGTAAATGGCCCAACCCCTTCCCTAAAGGGAGTTCAGAAAAATAGGGCTTCTCTATCACCAGGGCTTCTAACAATGATAAGAGCTCGGAGCCATTGCATAGATCTGACAAGTATATAGGATGACAATATGACAACCTTTCTGGAAGAGTTAGATTCAGACCTAAAGCAGAGTGGATCATGTTTATTAAAAAGGACATATTTCTGGAATGTGTAGACTTGAAGGGGAAAAATTCCGTGTTTTTTGGTGATTACTTAATAATCTTACTCCCCCTAGAGAATCACTTGATAACTTGTTCTCGAGTCTCTTTCTTCCCAGTAGACCTCCTGAAGTAGGGCAAGCTTCTTCAAAGCCCCAGGCTCTCATGCGGGAGGTGACATCAGGTATTTAGTTTGTGCATGGGTCTTGTTCATGTTTATTTGTTGTTGAGCTAGGGAAGGACCCTGTGGCATTTACAACTCTGGGTAGGAGAAAAACGTCTCTGGTCAGAAGAGAATACAGGCTCTCGCCACAAAGTGCAGTACCTTCTACACTGCCTTGTGTCTGTTCTATAGAGATAGTCAGGCAAGGACTTTAGTGGTCTTCTGTCAAAGTTGGGAAACAGCCTTTCATCAGTAAATGATTGACCCAGCTGCCCTGGGTGATAAGCTTAGGTAAATAGGCTTGATTCTGCTCCAGCAATCTCAAGACCTTTAACTCCTTAGGTTCCAGAGCAGAAAAATGCATATGGCTTCCTAGGAGAGCCTATCATTTTGAGTTTGACAGTTTTCTGGACAGTGTGTTCCTCAGCATTATTATGCCAACTGTCATGCTATATCTTGAAAGTATCAAGAATTCATGCAAACAAAATTCTGGAACAGAGTTATGTTTGAAGAGCCATGACTAATGGAAGAACTTCAAGAAATCACACATACGATTTTTATAATGAAAGATAGTAAACTTTCTAAACCTTTGAAATATGTAGAGGAACAATGACGATTTTCAAAGGGGAGCAAGAATGGAAGAAAAATAACAGCCCACCTTGCAGAATATGTTGGTGGACAAATGATTGAATTCTCTTGACATGCGCCCACAACTAACATACATCTCCTTCAGTAGGCCATCATCAGAGACACCCTGGCTACAAGGCTGAGCAAAGTGCTTGTATTGTGATCTTGAGAGAAAGGCCCATGACCAGACAGATTGCCTACCTTGATTGCTGCTTTAGAATCTGGATTCTTCTCTCAAATTCCTTCTTGACTCAGCAGTGGTGGCCCATGACTGTTCCAGTCCTTGCTGAAGCGTTTGGGACAGTGGTAAGAAGCATCAACACAGGCTTTCACTTTTTCTCAAACACCAAATCAAGGTGTTTCCCTCCATTTGCTTTCCTGCTTTCCCTGGCCCCTGCAGACAGCGGTCATGGGCTGTGACTTGCTCGCAGTCAGGTATGTTGACAGATATGAAGGAGGGTGCCTGCACTGGTCTCAGCTGCCTGGTCTGGCCAATCATTGCAGACCAGACCAGGCTCTCAGTCCTGTTCAAGCCTGATAGCAGCACTGCAGGGGCAGAAAGCAGATCTAGAAAAGAAAAAGAAAAGCAGTGACCTTGCAACCAGATCTGTGAAGTAGACTGGTATATATGGGAGGAAAATCCTTTTATTCCACTTCTTTTTCTTGTAGCAATCCCAGAAGGGAATTTGGAAGTCACTTTAGCCAATCTCTCATGTAATAGAGTTTCTTCTATTGAATTCCTGTCTGGTGAGAATCATTCGGAAATTTCTTGAACAAACCTGGCTGCCTCTTACTGAATGTGCACTATATACTAGGCGTTTATATATCTATATATACATATATAGATATAGATATATAGATATATATACATAAATTCTTATAGTAACCTTGAAATTTTATACTTATTTTATCGGTGAGGGAAGAGAAGCTCGAAGGGGTAATAGTCATGCGTTGAGTAGGTGCTTCAATCAGGATTTGAACTCACTGTTCTAAAACTATACCAATGTCCATGCACTTTCTATAGTACTCCGTGGTAGGCTGAAGAGTGCCCAAATCCTTAGAGCCTGTGGATATGTCACCTTACATGGTAAGAGGGATTTCGTAGATGGGATCAAGTTATGAATTTTGAGATGGGAGATTATCCTGGAATATCCAGGTGGGCCAGTATATCACAGGGGTCCTTGTAAGATGCTAGAATCAAAGGAGACATGGAGACAGAAGTGGAGTCAGAGAGAGATTAAAGATGCTATGCTGCTGACTTTGAAGATGCAGGAAGGGGCCACTGGCCAAGGAATGGCTTCTAGAAGCTGAAAAGGCAAGGAAATGAATTTTCCTCTAGAACCTCCAGAAGGAATGCTGCCCTGGGCTGGCCCATTTTAGACCTCTGACTCTAGACTTGAAAGGTAACAAATGTGTGCTGTTGTAAGCCACGAAGCTTGTGGTGACTTATTATAGCAACTATAGAAAACTAATGCACACTCTCAGAAATACTCTGCCTGATGGTGAGCTCATGATCTCAGACAGGAATGCTTTTTACTGAGCCAAGCTCTACCGTCTTGAAATGGCAACTCATGGGTCCTAGTTCTTCTCGGCATTATCAGGCACTCAGGGAGGCAGTTGCAAGTGTTGGGGAAGGACGCTGGGTGGAGACTCAGAAACCAGGTTCTAGTACCAGCACTGCCTTGGGCCAGTCTTTTCTCTCTTTCAGTTTTCTCTCCTGTAACATCAGCACCTGGACAAAAGCTCTTTGGTCCTTCCACATATAAATTTATAAGATTTTAATATCTCGTCATCTAACAATTTGAAAATACTTGAAGATATCACCATCACCCTTTTCTCAGTCTTTTCTAAACTCAACATCCCTAGTTTCTCAGGTGACATTACTTCTAGACCCTTCACCCTCGTAGCCGTCATTCTCTTGAAAGGCTCCAATTTGTCCACCTCCCTCTGAAATGTGGTGTTCAGACTTGTGCAGGGCACCCAGCCACCCCTCCATGTCTGCCAGTGTGTCTGTTTCTCCCATCTCCCACTGCCCTCTCATGCTAGAGCCCACCTAACAAGTCCTTTGGACTTGCTTAATCTGTTCCTTTTTATCTTTTTCTATCCAACTTTACCTCTTGAAAGACAGCATCCATAATCAACAAATTCATATGTCTTAGTTTAGTTCATTTTTTTAAATAGGAAAGACCAAGGCCTATGTTGGCCATCGTTGCTTGCTTAACAACCTTTAAATGATCGTTCATTCTCACAGGTACTGATAGACAGTGGTACGTAAATTTCTTAGGACCATAGTTTCCTCTGAGAATCTGAGGAGAGCTACCGATCCTCTACTAGAAAGAAGTGCACATACTTCCAAAATTTTGTGTGCGATGTCAGGGCGTTCTGGTCCTGCTGAGGTAGTCCACTGACCCCTCTGATGTGGCAAGTTAGTTCTAGACCCGCAAGCTTGTTGGGGAAGGGGGAAGCTTTTACAAAAGGCGATCTAATGTCTTCCTCCAGGTCCACTGATGCTTAGTGGAGGCCTAGAAATGAGACTGCTGGGCCCAGGTTGAGCAAACGCCCATTAAGGATGGAGGCAGGAAAGTCTTTAGGCCACAAGGCAGAGAAGTTCTCAGGTTAAACAAAGAACAGCTTTCAGTGGCCCCTTTTGCAATGAGAGCTCTGCTTCTCAGGGCCTTTCTCCACAGGATAAGTCCCATCCTTTAGACAGCAGGCCCCTTAGATTGAAGCCATCTGCTTGCCTCAGGCTTCTCCCAGTTGCATGATGCTACTGGATGGAGGCGACACTCCTGGGTCCCCCTTCCCCACCCGTGCTCTCCAAAAACACTGCCCAGCTGTGCAAACCGCCCAGTCTGATTAGCACTTTTGTTTAACTGGCACTTGCCCAGGCCATTCTGGGTGAGGTTTGAGGCACATGGGCTTTGGCCACTGTCCCTCCCTTGCAACCTTCTACCCTTTCTGAGAATGAAAGGTTTCGAGTCTTAAAAATAATAACACTCCTTCAGTCCAAGTGAGCAGATCTACCGAGGGATAAACAAAGAAACACACTGCTGATCAAGAAGAATTCCTTTGGGGGAAGAGCAAAAAAAAAAGCACAACAAAAATCTGGGGCATCCAGGCATCTTAACCTCAGGGATTCACAGAAGAAGACTCACTTCCCAAGTCGAGGAAGCAGGGTTTGCTCTCTGCATTGTGTGTAACCCTGGGCGTGGCCGTCCGCGGGACTGGGTGACTGGGCACCTCTCTCCTGCCCATTTAAACTGCTGCACAGGATGGCTGGGAAAGAGGGTGGTCGGGGCACGGACTTCTACAGGAGACATGGAGAGTATCCTTGCGAAAAAAGAGGGGATTTTCTATCTCAAATAGCAGTTTGTTTATATACTTATTTATTTAGTTAAGGATGTTTGGAAAGAGCACAGCAAAACCCAGTTCTTGACCAAAGTGTGCAGTTGACTCAAGTGTGTGGCAGTTTTTTTTTCCAACCTGGAAAGGATCGTAAACAAAGGTCATTCCCAAGCTTCACAGTGGATTTTTTAAAAATTTACTTTGAAAGGAAATTTTATATCACTGTTGAAAAACCCAGTATCACTTGCCATAAAGAGAAGGTAACCATAAAATAAATACAATGCAAACAAAATGGTATTAAATGTTAGCTGGAGGCTATTGCCTTTTAAAAAAATTTTTTGCTAGGTAAACAAGGGTTAGAGGGTTTTCATCACTAAGCTGAGACTTTCCTCTCTACTAATCAGAATGATTAAGTGATTAATGACATGAATGCTATTCAAGGATGTGACGACCTTCCACCTCACATCATCTGGCATACCACCAGGGGCATGAACCCCACTCACTCTTTGAGCCATGCAGAACTGGTCCAGTGGTCGTGCAACTTCTCTTTCACTGTCTGAATTTATCTGCATCCCTTCTTATGAATTAGTTTTTGCTAAATCATTTACCAATCAACACAAGGGTTAGAAGTTAGCCCGGTTGAAGGGATCGTACCGGGTCCTGGGAGGGGTGGGTGCAAAGTCTCCACCCCCAAACTAAGACTAATAAAACTACTCTTGAGAATTTCTGAGTGCCAGGCTCTGGGCTAAAATGCTTTCTGTATAGTTTCTTATGTGGACTTCTCAACAACCCATCAGAGGAGGTATGATTAGTCCTATATCCTATATATTTAGAGATGTTAGTTTGCCTAAAGTTACACAGCCAGGACGTGCTAGAGTTGGGATAGAAACACAGGGCTGTGCATCTCTGAAATGCCTGTTGCCATAGCTTCCGTGCTAACTAGAATGTTCAGAACCCAGCTACAAAATGAAATCTTCATTTGTACACAATGTACCAGCTCCATTCTCATAGAGCAATGTCTCAACCCAAGTGTATGTTCAGATATTGAGGCAGGCCAGTGGAGTCTTTGCAATTACCCCATGCAGGTTTTACCCGCTTTGCTTATGGTTAGACCCAGCCTTAACTTCATCATGTAATTTTTTATTGAAACCAAATGGGAATGACTGAACATGGTGCATATGAAAGCCAACCAGAGGATAGTATGGTAGATTTACTAGACACTGACTAAAATACAGGTGAAAAATCTGACTCTTACCTTGTTCTTCAATTGCTACATGTGATTATCCCTAGTTAGCTATTGTAACATTCAACTATTTGAAATGAATGATAACATGGAATTAATTTCATCACTACTAAATTCATACACAGGACTTTCACCTCAACCCATTATTTTTGTAAGGCAGAGGGCAAAAAGAGAAATTCACTGAAATTAAGTGGGCTCCAGTATTCTACTAAAAAGAATTAAGAATGAGGAAAATATTGGAATCTTCGTTGCCAACAGGGCCTGGACGCCCTCTCATTATTGACTCTGTGTGTGGACAAACACGTCATCTCTGCCCATCTCCGGGCATTTGGCAGTCGTTCAGAGTAACGTGGGCTGGAGATGGTGGTCGGGTGAGGATATGGAGGCCAGGAGGACCTGGCCCAAGCCTACGAGAAACAGCTGAAGTGTTGGGGGGTGAAGCTCGGAAAGGCACGGGTGACAAGGCTGTGAGCACATTTCATGCTCATCTCAGGGACTACGGGCATGATCAGCCAATTCCCATGAATTCCTCATCCAATATCATATGATAAGTCATCTTACTGACGCTGAGCCTATAGCCTTTGTTTTTTTTTTTTTTTTAAAGATTTTATTTTTATTTGACAGAGAGAGAGAGAGCACAAGTAGGCAGAGTGGCAGGCAGAGGGAGAGGGAGAAGCAGGCTCCCCGCCGAGCAGGGAGCCCAATGTGGGACTCGATCCCAGGACCCCAGGATCATGACCTGAGCCGAAGGCAGCCGCTTAACCGACTGAGCCACCCAGGCGCCCCGAGCCTATAGCCTTTAAAAAAATTAGAAGTGGGCCGATAATAAAATGCACGTAGAATCAAGGAAAAGTGCCTGCTGAAGTTTTATATTTATTATTGGGGTTAGGCCTATTTAGGTAGTTCAAATAAAATACAAGAAAAGACATCATGTCATTCCTATTAATTTTTTTTTCACAGTTAAAATGAGGTAATCTGGCTTTACAATGTTTTAGGTTGAATTAAGCAGTATGATCCAGTTTATAAGAAAGAAGGAGAGATATATTTGAATAATGATTTCCTAGGGGGGGAAAAGCCAAGTGAAATGTGTGTGAATAAGATAATTAAGCCACAAAATACATTTCAGAGTACCAAGCAGCATATATGTAAAATTTTAACTCTAACCTTAAAATTGGTACAATTTATTATTATTATTTTTTTACTTAACTTAGCAAACAGCATGCACTGTAATATAAAACAAGCCTAGAGGACAAACATAATATCTAATAGAGTATTTATCAGAGTCACGTATCATTTGAATTGACCAAGACGTATTTTCACTATGATAATGTCTGTATTTTCTAAGTGCTGATCCTAGTTGGCATATATCCAGGACAAACAATGCATACACAATCTGTATGTGATACTTATTAATATTGGGGCGTAAATTAGTAAGTATAGTAGCAGCAAGGTACCGCTGTGTCTAGAATATGTTCTAAGATTTATCATATTGATACTATAGATTCATGACCGCAGTGTTATTAGTGGCTATAAACTAATAGCAAATGTAAAACTGCAAATATACAAAGCGACTGAAGGCCTGACTTCAAAGTGCTGTGCTTCTCATTGGGCTACAAGCTTGTGAGCAAGCTCCTGCTAGTTGAATGAAGCACTGGCCTCGAGTTCTGGGTTCCAATCAGATTCTGTGTGTGGCTGTGGGGGAGTGTGGGGGGGTGCAGAATTATGCCTTTGGGACAGTACGGAGCAATAACCTCGGTGGTAAGAGTGTATTTGGGCATCATTGAACACGTGTGCCTTTTTGTGTAAGTTTTGCCAGCATTCTGTTATTTATAGTAATTGGCAGATGATAAAGGATGGCCAGGAGACAAGAGGAGAAAGTGGACTTCTGTGGAGATCAGAAGGAATGAGATGGAAAATGTCTCTTGACTATTGATGAGGTCATCTCAATAGACTGTGGGATTGAGTTCCCAGTGAAGAGAAGAAAAATATTGTATCCAAACTATGTAGCTTAGAAAGGAGTCTGAAAAACCCTAAGAATAAGTTTTGCTGGAGAAAAGACTAGAACACTATATCCACTGCAGGATCGAAAGTGTTCTTAGAATATTTTTATAGCATTTTAAGACTGCTATTTCAACAACATCGATAGCCATGTGTATTGTATTCTTCCAGGTTCAGGGTCTGTGCAGCGATACAGGGGCCTGTATCAATATTTCTAGTAGGAAGCTGGGGAAGCCAGAAGATAAGGCGGCCATACATCCTGGGGTAGTAAAGGGCTGTCCATGATCACTTGGAGTTAGGGCCAATTTCCAGCGAAATCACTTATCCCCTAATCAATTCACTCCTGTGTATCCCAAGGTAACATTTGTGAGTGACAAAGTGATGATGGCAAATACTAGGAAGCCATCTGAGGCAGAGGGCCAAGGAGGACTGGAAAGGTGGTAGAATTTTGAGGGACAACTACGTTCTGTGCCATTCAGAACAAACTTCCTGTCAGGACATTTGATGTTATCAGTTTCTATTCATTCCCTTGTGGCGTAACATGACTGTTTAGCATGCACTTGGGCAAGCCCACCTCTCAGAAACGCAAGTTTCTGATTTCGTCGGCTGATTTCATGCAGCTACACGCATCTCGTTCTACGGATTACTAAAGGCGCCAGTTCCCTCATCCCACACCACACTTTTGAGCAATGAACCCAATGGCATTTCTTCACACATGCCGCACAAGGAAGAATGACCGGAACTGGGTACCCCCGAGTATGAGGCATTTACTTTAATGATTAGGGGCCTGATGTTTTGGGGGCTAGTCCACCAAGGTGTACAGAACAGCACTAAAGTCGCAGACAACATCTTTATTCCAGATTAAGGAACCAAGGCAGATGTAGCATAGGGTCACTTAGCTGCAAAGCCACGAGAGAGAAGTCTCATGGCTGTGCCCCACTCGTTAGCCTGTTCCATTTCCCAGAACCTCCCAGTAAAAAACTGCAGTCAGCCCACAGAGAACATTACAAAAACTGCACCTGGGGCACGAACTCATTCGGTAAGATGGCCTGAATTTGTGTAGCCCTAGTGCTTCCGTGAAAAGAAACCATTTCATTTCAGTTGCAATTTCTTCGGCTTCTCCACCGTTCGCTTAGCACTAAGCTTTCTTGCCAGGTTGTAATCATGTCTCTTTGGGGGACACTTTCTTATGGCAGGATTCAGAAACAAAATCCTGACCCACCACAAAACTGCATTTCATTCCAGAATGCTCCACCATCATCTTCTTGAACAGAAACATCCACTTTGTGATGTGAACGTGAGGTCATGAAAGAAGAACTAGGATTCTTAAGATTGATCATGACCTGGGCTCAGATTGTGTGCTTTCTTTGAGTTTATATAAAAACTGGGTTCGGACTGTGGCTTAACTATTCTCAAGAATTCAGGGGTCTGGACTCAGTGCTGAGGAAATGACTAAACTTAATTATTAGAGGTCTCATACAGCATATATATAATAGTTTTGGCATGATCCTCTTTGGTCTGCCATTAATTTAAAATTTAATCCACAATCATTTATCATCCCTTCCATCAGTTCCATCTTGACTTCTCTCTCCAACCCTAAGAATATCTTCTGTGCCCATGAAACCACAGTGGTACTTCTAATAGGCTCCAAGTTCAAGCCTTTAAACAGTGCTCTAATCTAACTGAAACCTGTGATTGTCCCCTTTGCCACAAAGCCATGGAAATGTGGCAGATGGTCCAGAGAATTCATGAAAAACTCAGCCTACATTTCAGAAGAACTATGGCCCCAAATCCTATGAAACTAAAGCCCTCTTTGGCTCAGTCAAGTAGCTTTTTATTTGATCTTGAAGTGAATTCTGAGTAAGCACGATAGCCTTATTTGATCTTGTGAGAATAAATGATGCGGTGGGTCAACCATTTTTATTGTTGGCAGTTGCAGAATGAGTCGTAGACCTAAAGTTTATTCTCCCTCTGTCCCATCACGGAGTCTCCTGCTTGGCCTTAGGTCCAAGAGCAGAATGCATATGTCCTTTGTGATATGTTGAACAACTTTTTCTTGGAGCAGAGATTCTGCCGATTCAAGGGTGTTTATCAAGGGCGAACTGCAAATAATCTTCCTCCCAGCTCCCAGAACTCCTGTGCAGAATTTCAGAAGGCAAGCCAGGCTGGCAACCCAGAGCAGTAAGAAGGAGTGAGCACCTGCGCTTGCCACATAGAGCAGGGCTCCGTGCCCATGACCTTGGGACCATTTTCTGTGCTTTTGGGTCATGCTTGATGACTTTTCTCTTACCAGGCAAACACTGAGATGCACTTAAATGTTACAACCTAAGTGAAGTGCAATTATATCTTTTAAAACTAAAGGAAAAAATCAAGTAAACATTTCACGGAACAGTTAGCAGCCCTTGGGTGTCACTGGCGTCCTGTGTAGATACCTGCAACGCACCTGGCCTCATAGCACTGAGCACCTGGACAAAGCTGAGGCTCAAATAAAACAGAGCAGAGTAATTCTCCTCTTGCCTCCTGATCTCTTTGCCAAGTAACAGAGGGTTAAAAGAGGGGAACCGATCTAGTCCCTAGCAATGGACCAAGAGTTAAAAATAAGACCAAAATGAAACAATAATGACACAAATAAAACCCTGAGGGTAGGCCGGGGATTTCAGAGCTTCTCACTGGGGTTTAATAGCAGAATTGAGGAACAACTGATAAAGCGAGGGCACTTCCTTTCTTACTCCTTTCCAGAGAAGGCCCTAAAAAATGGGCAGCACAATCTCAGAAACCTCTCGGAGTGGGGGTTCAAATGCAAGAACAGGAAAAGTTAAACCAGATTCTCCCAGAGGCATTTGTGTTGTGACCCCCCTCCAGCCGCGGGAGCTAAAGGTCAGGGATGAACCGACTTTACAGAGAGGCTGGAAGAGCGCGAGCTGGGCATGGGCGTGTGCTTTCGGCCGCTCACCCCAGGCGCCCACAGCCGCACAGCGTGAGCACCGGCAGGGGAGGAATGGCGAGCCTCTGGGAGGTGGCCCAACGATCCTTACACACACACACATCCGTCCAGGAGTCCATGTTTATCTGCCTTAAGAATCCAGAGGCTGACATTTCCTTAGGGATCCTCAGACAGTTCTGAGGGGCATCAGCACGTACACACTCCTATGCCCCGTTTTCTTTCCAGATCCTTCCTTTCTGACCTTCTACTAGGGATTCTCCCTCAAGAACTGAGAGTTCTTCATGACCCGTTGCATCCTCTGACCCCGTGCGTGGTCTGCCAGGGGCTTCTCAGCTCTGCACCACACCCACACAATGCACACTGTCCCGACAGGCCTGGGGGAGCTGGGAACATCCCCAGCCCAGTCAGAGGTCGCTCACAGTCCCGAAACGCACGGGCCCCTTGAAGATCAGGGCGGCGCTGGGCCTGGGTGAGAAAAGTTCAGGAAGCGCCTTTGTGAGTGCTCTTGAGGTAAGAAGCACTGAACTTAATCTATAAATAAATAAATGGATAAATAAATAAATAAATAGAAACACAGGAGGGCTCTTCCTAGATAAGTACCTCTTATCAATTAAAAAAACAAAACAAAACCCAAAATCCCCTCTTGAGTTTCACAGCCCTCCTGCAGGGGTGATTACCAGGCCCCAAACAACCTGCAGAAAGTAGAACAATCGAGATGCAAACTGGAAACGTTCCAGCACTGGGTCTCTCTCGCTTGATGACACACAAGTCATCCTGAATGTCCCTGAGGTAGTCTGGTTTTCACGAAGTTACAGAACAGCTCCAAACCCACTCGGAGCTTCCTCCTTAAATCCATTGCACTTGCCCACGCATCCCGCGGCTGCCCCCCCGGTGCCACGATAAGGTGCCTTCCGGTAGCGTTATACCTTACACGACACAGCACAGACCCGGGTCCTCGGCAAGCAGCAATGAAATGCAATTCCAAGATCTGGCTTGAAGATCCCGTTCCAAAGAGGACTTTGCCAAAATGATGCAGGAGTTTACCTGGCAGCCATTTTGGGAAAAGGTTATAGGATTAAAACAAAGAAATGTGGCATGCAGCAAACATGCATATCTATTTCCTGTTGGGCCCCACACTGAAAAGATCCCCCACCATTGTTCCTTTCACTTTTAAGGGGCCAATAGAAATGGAAAGGAATCAATGTTTTACAACGGGGAAACACATTTCTGATACCAAAGGCAATATGCAGTTTATCCAAAGAACGCAGGTGCCCAGTTCCCAAGCAGCAGCTATGCAAGAACAGCTTGTGGCTGGAATGGCCTGGTGATGAGAAGTCTTACTCTCTCGGGGAAGAAGTGGTAATATTCGAGATGCCAGAAGAAGTGGTGCCTGGCCCCTTTCTCCCTCAAAGCCCCAGGTTGATGTTAGAGCCACCCACGGAGCCTTCCCCACCTGCCACGAGCCATTCTTTTGCCTAAGAATGCCTTCCTGGTTCAGTCTTCTCACTGGCTCGCATACAACATCCTGGGAGACAGCAGGAAACTGGGCCAATTCGGAGACACTCGAAGGAAGCTGCAGACCCCATTTCCACATTACATTCCATGTGGAGACCCTGACTTTGATCACACGAAACATGCTTCTTCCCTTGGACTTCAGTTTTTTTAAAAGTCTCATTTGGGAAAAATGCAATTAAAAGCTCTATAATTTTATCCAAATGGCCCTATGAAGAGGGGAAACTGCCCTCCTCCTCCTTCCCCATCACTGCCCAGGGGCCGTCCTAACAGGAAACCCTTCAGAACTCTGGCCTGGATCAACAAAGCCAACATTGAAATAAAAACCAAATCAGCATTTAGCCAAAGCTCTGTCCTCCTGGAGGAGGTCATTCAATTCAATGACAGTCGTGGCGAAGTCCACCAGGTCCACGAAGTCGGATGTGATGATGTTGACACCCATGGCTCCGGGCTTCTGAGTCTTCACCCAGTCCAGGATGGCAGGAAGATTCCTATACAGAAGACAGGACAGGGAGTAGAGTTGAAAAGGACTCTTCCAGAAATGGAAACAAGACATTTCCATTCGTGTAACAAAAGTACATCAATAAAAGCACAAGTCCCCCACAGTTCGTCCGTTGAAGCTGTAGATCTCTTTCAGGGATGAAGTGACGTCTATTCCAATAGAGAACTGCACTTTCAGGGTTTCTGCTCTGGAAGAGGAGATTATCTGCCTCAAGCACCAAAGAGATAACCATGTCAGTAGGACCTTGAAAGACTAAGATCAAGAGCTTAATTATTGGTAAGTTCTCTAATTTTTTTAATCACAAAAATTTTCAAACATATTGCAACACTGAAAGAAATATACAGGTAGTGCATGCACCACCTAGCTTCTAGCACTAACATTTTATAGTACGTGCTTGCCACATAGCTGTCCATCAACCCATCACTCTATCCTTCCATCAAAACATCTTATATTTTTGACAAATTCCAATGGCAAACAGCTATACACATGCCCCAAATACCCCGTATGCATATCATTAACCAGGACTCAATATTTGTTTTAATATTTCTTTTGACATAAACTTGCACCCAATAAAATGGGCAAATCCTAAGCGTACACTAGTTGAGTTGTGACAAATGTATGTACGTAATGTACACCCATATCAAGGGACAGAACATTACCAGCGCCCCAGAAGGTTCCTGCATATACCTTCCTCATCAATCCCAGCCCACATCCTCCCAGGGGCAACAATTATCCTAATTTTTTTTTCTACCATTGATTAAATTTGCCTGTTCTAGGGGCCACCTGGGTGGCTCAGTCATTAAGCGGATGCCTTTGGCTCAGGTCATGATCCCAGGGTCCTGGGATCGAGCCCCACATCGGGCTCCCTGCTCAGCGGGAAGCCTGCTTCTCCCTCTCCTACTCCCCCTGCTTGTGTTCCCTCTTTCACTGTGTCTCTCTGTCAAATAAATAAAGTCTTTAAAAAAAAAATTTTGCCTGTTCTAGAACTTCATGGGAGTTCAGGCAGTATGTATTCTTTTGTGTGAGGTTCTTTCACTCAGCATTATGGTTTTGGAATCCATCCATGTTGTTGCATACATCAGCAGCTTGTTCTTCATTTTAATTACCGTACTATTTCACTGCATGAATGTACTGTAGTTTGTTTATCCATTTTCTTACTCATGAATAAATGGGATGTTACTCATTTTTGGATATTATGGCTAGAACTGTTATGGGCATTCTTATCTAAGTCTTTTTGTGGACATTTATTTTCATTTCTTTTGGATAAACACCAAGGACTAAAATTCCTTTACTACATGGTAGGCTTACATTTAGTTTTATAAGAAACTTCCAAATCTTTTCCCAAAGAGGTTGTTCCATTATATAATCCCATCAACAAAGTATGAGAGTCCTGGTTGCTTCAGAGCCTTTCCAAAATTTGGCAGTCTTTTTAATTTTAGCCATTCTAGTGGGTATGTAAAGATATCTAAGTGTTTTAATTTGCATTCTTCTGATGACTACTAAGGCTGAGCCGTTTGTAATGTACTTATTGGCCATTTGTATGTCTGCTTTGGAAAGTACCTGCTCAATTCTTTTACCCATTCTTTTCTTTTTTTCCTTTTTCTTTTAATTGTTGAGTTGTAGAAGTTATTTATATATTCTAGACATTAGTCTTTTCTTGGATATGCTTTTTGATATTTTAACCTTGCTTATAGCTTGTCTACTAATTTTATTAATGGCTTATTTTGGCGAGCTCAATTCCTTAAATTCTTTTCTTTTATAATTTCTGTGACCTATCTAGGAAACTTTTGCTTAGTCCCAAGTCACAAAAATATTTTCCTGTTTTCTTCTTTAAGCATATGGCTTTAGCTTTCCTGTTAGATCCAAAATCTATCTCAAGCTAATTTTTATATATGGTATGAAGTAGGGGTGGGGCTCACTTCTCCCATATGGATATAGTTATTCCAGAAGTATGAGTGGCTTCTTAATGGACCACTGCTTACTCAGTGGTCTCACAAAGACAGTCGGTTGGTCACATTTTACAATTCAAGGATTTTCCATGTAATATCCAGAAATGTTTTGCCTGAAGCAGCTCAACACTTAGTGACATCAACAAATGACAACAATTTAATGTGATACCTTCTGTATTAGCAGGAAATGTAAATACCATGGAGGGCAGAGGGGAGGGCGAAGTGAAGTGTACTGCATAGTCTGGCATCTGGGCAGACTTTAAGGACACAAGCCATAGCTTATGATTTGGTTAAGGGATGAGATTTTTTTTTTTTTTTTAAGATTTTATTTATTTATTTGAGAGACAGCGAGCAAGAGCAGGGGTGGGGAGGTGGGGAGCAGAGGGAGAGGGAGAAATAGGCTCCCTGCTGAGCAGGGAACCTGATGCAGGGCTCATTCCCAGGACCTTAGGATCATAACCTGAGCCAAAGGCAGACACTTAACCAACTGAGCTACCCAGCCATCCTGGGACTGGAGACTTTTTAGGAAGGATTTGCTCTAGGTCAAAAATAAAAATACTTTTATCTTAAGGGGCCCCTTTCTCTTCCTCTGGTGACGCTCTCCTTGGTTGTCATCTTCTCTTTCCAAGCTGCCCTCCCTTTGAGCATACATCCTGACCTCTCAATCTCCTTCTAGATGACCCTGTCCAGGCCTTGCTAGCATTTCTTTTCCTCTTCTCAGGAAAATAATGAGCAGTCCTGGGTCACTTCCCTCACTCAGTGGACTCGAGAACTGGCCATGGGCTATAAAACGCATCTCATAAACCAATTTGCATTTTTATGTTAGTAGGTTAATTAGGATTTAATAAGCTGCCATCACAGGAGTAAGTCCATTTTTAACCGGGTCTCCCAAAGATTTAATAACCTCAATTTGACCTTAACTTATTCAATTTCTTCCTGCCTCAGTCTCTCCCCCTGTAAAATGGGGATAAAACTACTACTTATCTCATGTAGATTTTGGGGGGGGGAATTAAATAAGGTAATATATGTGAAGTGCTTAGAACTTTGCCTGGGATATAGCAAGCACTATGTGAGTGTTTGGCACGAGAAAAGAACTCATACATGGTAGAGTGTAGGGTAGAAATAGCTGAAGGCCAAGAACAAAGCGCCACAAGTAGTCTTTCCTTGACGATAGAGACCTGCAATACATAGTGGCCCACAAGAAGGCCACTATAGTCCTGAGCCTGACCCATTCAAGACTTCTTTTTCTTTTACTTTATTTTTTAAAGATTTATTTATTTTAGACACACACACAGACCGGGGGGGGGGGGGGTGGGGCAGAGAGAATCTCAAACAGATTCTGAGCTGAGCGCAGAGCCCCACTAGGGGCTCCATCCCACGACCTGAGATCACAACCCTGAGATGACAACATGAGCCAAAACCAAGAGTCAGACGCTCAACCGACTTTGCCACCTGGGTGCCCCAACACTTCTTTTTAAAATCCACTAGCCAGGGGGCGCCTGGTTAGTTCAGTCAGTAGAGCAATGTGACTCTTGATCTCAGGGTCATGAGTTCAAGCCCCACATTGGGTGTAGAGCTTTCTTTAAAAAAAGAAAAGAAAAGAAAAGAAAAAAAAAAATCCCCTAGTCAGTGTTTAGGTATGAAATGTTGGCGCCATCTCCTGGTCGTCATGGGGAAATGAGAACTAAAAGCTTGGTAGCAACTCCAGGGGACTCCAGCCAGAGCCAAACCACAGGGGATCCTTGGAGCCTGAGCAGAGAAATGTGGGAAAGGCATCCACCTGCGGTCTCCGGTGACAAAGAGCTCTATGTCAGCTTCGGGTTGCATGTATCCACCTTCCTCGAGGCAAGAATCAAATAACCAGGATTACGTACAAGGACAGGGAAATGTACAACTGCCTGTGAGGAGAAGCCATTTTATTTTCTTAACTCCTGGCCTTCAGCAGGGAGAGATCAGGGCAGACGGCTGAGCCGGATATTGCCAACAGGCCTGTGAAGCACCAGGTCCCATAAGCAGAGCAGTCGGTTAGAAACTTCCCTTTGCTTTTTTTTTTTTTTTTAAAGATTTTATTTATTTATTTGAGAGAGAGAATGAGATAGGGAGAGCATGAGAGGCGGAGGGTCAGAGGGAGAAGCAGACTCCCCGCCGAGCAGGGAGCCCGATGCGGGACTCGATCCCGGGACTCCAGGATCATGACCTGAGCCGAAGGCAGACGCTTAACCGACTGAGCCACCCAGGCGCCCTTCCCTTTGCTTTTGAAGCCCACGGAGAAGCAGCCTGACCCTCTGTGTTCCCAGGTTTCTTTACAGACAGAGACGGCGTGCCTATTTGTGCCAGTCACCATGGGAGGCATTTTCATGCTAAGACTCTACAGTTTTGTGCAGTCATACGAACCCTTTAAGAGGCGGGAAAGAGACAGCTCAGAGAGCTCAGGAAATTTGTCCAAGGCCACCCTGCTGTTGAGAGACTACATTGGTATGCTAGGGCTGCCATAGAAAATGCCAGACTGGGTGACTTCAACAACAAAAACGTATTTTCTCACAGTTCTAAGACTGGGAGTCCAAGATCGAGATGTTGGCAGGTTTGGGTTCTTCTGAGGTTTCTCTCCTTGACTGGTAGATGGCCGCCTTCTTGCTGTGTCTTCATGTCACCTTTTTTCTGAGCACACACACCGCTGGGGTCTCTTTGTATGTCCAAATTTCCTCCTTTTTAAGGACACCAGTCAGACTGGATTAGGGCGCACCCTAATGGCCTCATTTTAACTTAATCACCTCTTTAAAGACCCAATCTCCAACGGTCACATCCTGAGATAATTGGGGCCTAGGGCTTCAATATACGAATTTCCAGGGAACATAATTCAGCCCATACCAGGGACCAGATCAGGCCTCAGTCTCAGGCTTCTGACTTCAGTCTGTGTCCCCTTCTATGGCTCCATGGCTGCTCTGTGCTTGAGCTTAGGCAAATCTTGCTTTCGTTCGATTTCAGTGGCAGTGCAAGGTTTCTAAGAATCTAGGGAAATCTACCATAGAAATTCAGTCAGAATGGCTCTATTTCATGCCTTCCTTTCAGGGTGATGAACCAAAGCAAACAAGATCTCAGGTCCAAAGTTTCACCTAAGAGTTAAGTTAACTTCCTGCTGAAAAAAAAAATCACCTCTACAATTGTGGGAAAATACACCTATCTGATCTTTTTCCTCTTGGTTAAACTGGTAACCAGTGGTCAGGAACCAGTCTGAGAGCACCCCTGTACCTCAGTTAGGTCAGAGCTCTTGGGTGTTAGAAATGCTTCTCTCCTACGCTTGTTCAATTGCCCAGAGGAAATGACGGCCACTCGTCCTGCTGGCGTTTGGGAACAAACTCTTGACTTTGTTTCTCCCTGCAGTGGATGTGGAGGCCTAGGAATGCATGCTGCCTCCCTGTAATATTCTTGAGACCAGCAGAGTGGAGAGGCCCAAGTATCCTTCCAGCCTTGAGACATCCGCTTGCCACCAGCGAGGGCTCCGGCATGCCAGGATCCCTTGGCTTTGGGCACATGCCGCCATCATTATCACTAAGTGAAAGCTTTGTGCTTCCTTTGCAGCCAGATTAAAGTTCTAGGAATTTACGGGTATGAAAAGCATCGCGACTTTGGGGGTTCACAGCTGTGTCCAGGAAGATCTGACCAGACTCAGGGACTAGTAAGACAACTACAGGCCAGTGGAGCAGAAAGGAGCAGAGCGATGAAATATGCTATATTCAAGTCAGTGGTGAATATGGAAAAGGGCAACAGCACAACCGTCAGAAGTCCAGAGTTAGAGCATATTATTGACTCTCTCCAGCTATGTGGGTCTGGGTCACTTAGCCTTACTGAGTCCCGCTGAAATGGGGGCAATAATGCTCTCTAGACCTGGAGGCTGGCTTGATTTACGAATCAAATGAAATCATCCGCAAGAGGGTAATTTATATTCTAAATACAGTATACAGATATAACTTATCCTTATTCTTAAATACTTTCTCTCCCTTATTAGTACAACTCTCTGCACAGACTTTATTATGTTATTTTCACACTGCTTTACAGAAATTTACATGTTTATTTTTCCTGATTGACTTAAGTTCCATGAGGACACAGACTATATTGTTTCCCTTGTATCCTTAGACCCAGCTCCTCCTAAGTACTCAATCTTTTTTGTTGAATGAATGCGTGAATGAATAAGTGAATAATATTAATCTACAAGTTTGCCAAACGCATGAGGAAAATGGTGTGTTACATGAACATAAAAAACAAGGAAGAGTTTGTCATTCTGGATCTTTCCGAGCTACAGCACTGCTTTATGACATTCTCTTTTCCAAGTTCAGCACGAGTAATTCAGTCAGAACTGAGTCAAGCCCCACAGTAAGGGTTTCTCGTTTTGTTTATGGACAAGATAAGCAGGAGTTTTCACCAGGAAATAAAAGTTCGGGTGCTTCTTGCTATCTGAACTCTTGCCAGATGAACTCCTGTTATCTGGAGTGATGCTATCCAAACTCAGAACCAGATAGGCAGAGACACATTTTTGGAAGAATCTTTCACTACCTAAATACTGGTGCTTACCACCTGGAACTCAGGAACCGAAGCGAGTCCTGTAAATAGCCCTTGTTATCCAAACATATTCGCTTCCTCAGCTTGGATTGGGAGGATGCCCTATTCTGCAAGTGTATTGATAACATTCCCTTTACCCACATCAACACGCACGCACATGTATATGTACAGATACGCAAGTCATGCTTTTTCTTGATGACACCTATCATTTGTGGTGTCCTTGATAAAGAATATCATCTAATATAAAATATCTGGAGCTTCTCCTGCCTAATGGTGCGGTCAGAATCCATTCTGCTCTGAGGAAGTATGTGAAACTATGGTGCGGCAGGTACCATCCGAAGCTGCTTCTCAGGACTCATTGTCGCTATGGAAGGGACAAACCTTTGCAGGTCACCTCTGAATCCCTAGCACCTGGCACAGCTGTTCTCATTTAATGCTTTTTAAATGACTGAGTACTTGGGCCCGCTGAAAGGCGGGGCAAGTATGGGATGTGATCACACACCAGAAGTGAACACACTGCCATTGGCTTAGAGTGCTTTGCCTGAGCATCAAAGTTCAGAGAATACTTACGGTCTACTAGATATTTTAACAAAGTATTTAGAGGCCCTTTGGCCACATTTAATGCAAACCGCCTCAAATGCACAGCTTTTTCAAATGTAAGGTTTTTTGGTGTTTGTTTTGTTGTTATCCTAAAATCTTCAAACTCTATGATTTTACTGCTGTTTATTCAGAAGAGAATCAAGATACGTTTCCTTTAAGAAAACCAACCAACCAACCAACCATAAACCTTACTTGTGGGGTGGAAGCAAATTCTTACCTATGAACCAGGGTATTCTTAAGGCCACCAACCAGGCCTCGGGCGATGGTTTTCACTCTGGGGGTGAGAATCGCTTGAGAGACGTGGAAGGAGCCGCGCGGGGCCCGCTCACTCAGAGTGGTCTCCAAGAAGAGGACGAGTTTGCTCACACTTGTGGTGTTCGCCCAGGGCGCTGGGATCTTCTTTCCGGGCCACAGGAAGGGGTATTGCTTGTAGAAGGGACAGTGATAGAAAATAAGAACCTGAGACATTCAAAACAGAAAAAGGAGAACAATTGATGAATTAGCTGAATGTTAATTCCTTGGCTTTGCCCTGATTGCTAGGATTAAAGGCAAACACGTATAAGCATGTAGAGATTCAAGAATTTTATGTATATGTATATTTAGAGAAATCAATAAGCAAAGATTTAAGCACTTGTGTATGTCTGAACATGAAAATTCTTTATTTTTATTGCGAACACCTCTGGAAGTATGGTAAAATCCTGAACCCCTTCTCAGACTGCATTTTATTTTATTTATTTTTTTTAAGATTTTATTTATTTATTTGACAGAGAGAGACACAGCGAGAGAGGGAACACAAACAGGGGGAGTGGGAGAGGGAGAAGCAGGCTCCCTGCAGAGCAGGGAGCCCGATGTGGGACTCGATCTCAGGACCCTGGGATCATGACCTGAGCCGAAGGCAGTCGCTCAACCGACTGAGCCACCCAGGCGCCCTCAGACTGCATTTTAAATGAATGTATAAAATAAAATAGACAGGATTACAAAGGAAATCAATGAGACCAAAATATAGCTATCAATATATTATTAAATTTGTAATAAATTAGTGTACATGCTTCATAATAAATACATTAAATAAAAGTACTTTGTTGTAAGTCTAATAAATTCCATCATTTTGAGTTAATGATGAGTATAAATGGTATTTCAAATAACTGGAATGTGATACGGAAATACCTGTGATTTCTATGGTGACAAAGTCACAGGTAGGGCCGATACTGTGGGTATATGAATTTTCAGTTACAGGTGACAGGGAAAAATATGTAGATTTTTCCCATCCAAATTCACAGACTGCTTCAATCCTACCCATGCCCCTCCCCCTGGGGCTCTGAGCCCCGGATGGAGAGCCCTGTGGCTCGCGCCGTCTACAAGGTATGACTGCCATGCTCGGGAGACTGACGCTCCTGGGGTTGAGACCAACACCTTGCACTAATCTGGGAGTACCCTGAGTTTCAATCACGCGAGCCAAGCCACTGAACGAATAACCCTTCCTAGGAGGGGGTGGGAGGGCGCTACTCCAGGCAGGGCAGACTTCCAGAAGGCGATGGGTCTCCAGTGGGACCTCTGGGGGCTGGTGGTGATTTTGAAAATAATTAGCAAGCCATAGCCACAGCATTAATTAGTTTCTGACAGGCAGCCGAGGGACGGGGAGTTGCTATTTTGATCGTCCCAATTCAGGGCTCTGCTGCTTAGGTTTCTAGAAGTAGTATATTTTCCCTGCTGCCAAGCACCAGTAATCTCTTCCTGAAGGAATGTCCCGCGTGTTTACACTGCCTGGACTGCAATCCTCAGATAGCTGGCCCGAGAGCATAATGCCCCGGGCACCCGAGAAGCAGGGCTCTGAATGCGTGTCTGGTCTCCAGTGTGTTGCGCTCGTGACTAAGGTGCATGACTAACGCGCCGGAGCTCGGGCGCGTCAGGCTGGATGCACCCAACAGGTGAATAGTTACCTTGTTTTTAGTGGTGTTGAGTAACGTCTCACTGACTGCTGAGGATGCCCGTGGTAAACACGTGTGTTAATGAGGTTAATCACAGGCTCAGAGTAAGCAGATTGTCGGGGCGATTGGGAGGGTTCCCTGCCAGCGCGGTAATTGGCTAGCTGGGAGGCTGGGGTCTCCTGCCTCCGAAAGGGAGGCACGCTGTCTTGTGGAACGGACGGTGGCAGAGGCGGGAGGCTGTGTGATCCTTCCCTGTCGGGGCTGGCTTTCAGAGCTGCCGGGCGCCCTGGGCAGTGGCAGTGCTGTTCTTTGCTCTGCCTTAGAAAAGGTGCAAATAGGACGCGTTGTACAAAAGGGGCTCTAGGCCTTTCCTCAAGCGCCTGCGCAGTCTGACCATAAGGGTTGGAAGGAGAATTTCTGGTTACACGAGGATGTTGGCCCAGCAAACCAACTGTTATTCCACGGGATTCTAGGGGCAGTAACTCTTGCCCTAGGGCCTGTGTTTTGCATCTGCCTCCCTACCTCGCTCTGCTATATTTTTCTCTGAAATACTCTCCCCTCCAGCTCAGCAATTTATGTTCAGTTTCTCTCTGGAGACTCAGATTTGAAATCTACTTTCTTTTGAAAATTATTCCTCGATTGACCTCCTCTTATTCTGATGGGTCCTTTCCTGGAGGCTCCTGGACTATAGATTTGTGCTACGTGCTATTTTTCAATTGATGGCTTACAAACCCCTTTCTCCATACAGTACATTTGAGGCAGTTTTATCTTGCAGTTGTGTATGGGTTGTTTTGTATTTTACAGGTGTTACGGACTCCCACCTTCTCATTAAGATTTGAAATACTGCCAAACCGTAGATTAAATCTTCTAATTCACTGTACGTCAAAACCCATAACTGCGATGTACACCTATCAGTGAGCTGTGATGTAATTGTTGAGTAAATGAAATTTGACTGAATGGTAGTACACTTCTTGCTATGAAATTGTAGTGATAAAATACTCAGGGGGTTCCATGCAAGGCAGCTCATTACATAATGAATATTTAAAGTATAACCACCAGGAGGGCCCTGCCCCCCGCAGGAGATAGATCCCTGATGACTGTGAGGTCTCTGTTTAGCTTTTAAGAAGAGACAGGGCAGGGAAAACTTGGGGAAAGCAAGAAGAGCAAATGGATGACACTCCCCTTTTTCTGACAGGTCATCACAGTGTCTTTCCTTCATAATTTTCAGAGTAGTTGTACTTGGAAGACACAGATTAGTCCATACTTAAAAACAAGGATAGCTCATCACTCTGCTGCTAGAAATTCACTGTCCCCCTCATCATTATTCCTGAAGACACCTGTTACTCCTGCAGACTTCGGAACAATTTGGTATGCACTATGGCAGTCCATTCAGGACATGATCTGTGCGCAAAATTATAAAACTGTATTTATAACAGATATCTGATTGTCAAACTTAGCTGTACTGAGATTTAACCTTACCTGAATCGCACATTCAAAAGCCCTCTTACAGATCTCCAGCCCTTTATTCTGTTCTGTGAAACCTCTGAGACCCTCTGATAATAACGGCTCACGAATAAGGAGAAGGTGTTTTTATTAGCATAATCTATGCTCCTAGTTGTGAAAACCACCACGATGAGGGGTCAGCCCTGGGATAGCATCAGAAGCTGTGGGAGCTCTATGGAGCCAAACAGCGTATGACTCAATCTTGGCTCTTGCCACTCACTAGGAATGTTCTCTCGGGTAAGTCGCTTAGTCTCTCCATGCCTCAGTTTACTCATCGGTAAAATGAGGATAATAACAAAACACCTATCTCATCGTGTTGTGGAGAGGATTAAATGCGCGAATCCAGGTACCTAACACAGTGTAAAGGCTCAGTAAAGGTTAGCTGTTAAGGTGCCCTTGGTATTACTATTATCTCATATTGTAAGAGAGACACCACTGAGAAAAAAAAATCTCCAAATTAGACCTGTGAGTCTGAAAAGATATCAACCCAGGTTAGGGGCAGAGGTGTGATAAATATTTGGCAAAACATCATTTACAAAGTTTTAGTGAGGAAAAGCGGCTTAAATTTTAACAGATACTGACAGCTAACTCGTTAGCCTCTGTGGTGTCAAAGGCATTAGCCCTTTCAGAGGTGTGCGAAACCACCTGGGGTTTCCAGTTACTCCGGCCAAACCTGGGAGCCATCCCTGGAGCCTGTTTCTTTTGTGCCCTGAATCCCATCCATTGGAAAACCCCGTTGGCTCTAAGTTCTGATAGATCCCAAATCTGACCACTTTTCCCACTAGTGCTCCTCACTGGTTCCCCTCCTTTCCCTGCCCTCCTCCCCCTGCTTTCTTCCTAGCAGCCAAGGAGATCCTATTACAGTGTAATTCAGGACACAGCACCCGGTACTCAGAACCCTCCCAGAACCTTCCTCCCTCAGAGTGAAAGCCTGAGTTCCCACCGCATCACCCATGACCTCTGACCTCCTCCCACCGCTCTGCTTTCCAGCCCCATGGCCCCTGCTTCCTCTCAAACAGAACCAGGCACTGGCGGGTTCCTCTGCTGGGAAAGCTCTTCCCCTAACAGCCACACGATTAACTCCATTAACTCCTTCGAACGTCTACCCTCATCAACCTATTTAAAACTGAGACCAACCCTCCAACCCACAGAATGCTGGTTCTTCCTAACCACGCTTACCTTTCTGTTTTCATCGCTCATATCACTTTCTAGCATTTTATGTAATGTATTTATTATGGCAATTATCTATCATCTATTTCTTAGACCTGAATGAAAGCTCCATGAAGGCAAGGATCTTTGTTTTATTTACTAATTTATCCCAAGTGCTTGGACTGGTGCTTGGCACACACTTGGTGTTCAATGAATATTTGCAAGTGAATAATCTTTAATTAATTTTTAATTGAAAGCTCTTCCCCAAGTTCAAAAATAGCTGCCTCTTTAAGATGCTTTGGTTAATGTACCTTTGAGTAAGTGAGCAACTATGAATGAAAAAAGGGACTTGCTTTCTTTCTTCTTTTAAAGCGAGTCTAAATTGGACGCTGACCTTTCCTGAAGCTCCCCTCTCCCACAGTCTTTCATCCTGTGGGAGCAGAGCAGCATGTATCTGATGCCCACATTCCTTTTCTTGAGTATGTCCCTCAAAGCCTTGGTTTGGGGGCTCTTCTAAGCTTAGGGGACCTGGGAATACTCTGCGGCCTGGATCCTCCTTCAATCTCTCAGGCCGGGCCCCCAAATCTGTTAAGATTTAAAATGTTAACACCTCTGAGATGAATCACTTACAGGCTTTTGTCAGCCCCTGCAGGGATTATCTGACATTGAGCTCAAGGCAGGATGGGCCCACCTATCCCTGAGGGGAAGTAGGAGCCTGAGAAAGGATTCTATGGGAGATAAGAAAAAAAATGGCAATCACCAGCTGGTCCAATTTCACAAAGTTGCCTTGGGCTGGTTCTGGCCAGGCCACTCAAAGTCAATTCAGATGCTTCCAACAGGCTGCCCAACCAATTGTAACTATTTGGCAGGTGTTAATCCCAGTTCACCGGTACCCAGGAACTGGTGTGCATATCCTAGAGTATGAAGCTATCCAAGAGCCCAGGACTCCGGGTGTGTCTGTTTAACACTCCAAATAATCTTTGCCTTCTAGCCAAGAGCCCTGTGGTGAGCTGCCGTCCAGCGGCTGAGACAGAAAAGGTGGCAGAGTTCCGTTGTTGCCCTTGCCCTTGCCCTTGTAAGCGGGTCTGTCTCCTCTCACCTGGCACTTCTTCTCCCACAGGGCTCGCAGCGTCATGCTCTCCACACGGCAGGCGGAGCACAGCTTGTTTCCAAAGGCCTCCTGGATCCGGAGAACCAGGAGTTTGTGGTGGGCCTCATCCATGGCGTAGAAGTGGTTGAAATCCAGGAAGACAATCTCTTGGGGGTGTTGGGTGAGAAATGAGTCAATCTCCATCAGCCCGTCCCAGACCTTGATGCCAAAAAGTCCATGAATGAAGTAGATCTCCTGGTCGGCATCCCCGGGTTTGGAAGACACGCGTAGGTCGAAGTAGCGGATGCCGGCTTCCAGTTGCTCCCTGAACGTCAGGTTCTGCGTCACAGACCACTTCTTCATGAGCTTCTTCACCAAGGAGATCCTGGCCAGGCGTTTGATGGCTGCGGTTTGGTCGGGCCCCACTGGGGACTTCTCATCTACCCAGTAGCTGAACGAATCATGGGAGCCTGTGCGAAGCAACAAATGGGAAAGCAGGTGAGACCGGCGCTGGGAAGGATAAACCCGCCGATCAGGAAGCAGCAAACAATTAGCAAATACACACACAAAAATGTCAGCGAATTCTTGCAAAAGTTTTCAAGCTTGCTAGACTAGAAAGAAGTGCAAATAAAAGTTAATGTGGTCTTATTAGCAGCTCGGTAAGCCTGGAATACAGCTCTAATTCTCACATATGACTAGTGTAAGGTGAATTAATAAATACCCTTTTGGAAAGCTCCTTAGAAACGGGTTTGGAAAGAGGAGCTTTAAAATATTCATACCACTTGATCTAGTGATTTCATTTCACGGAAGGCTCTTCTGAGGAAATACATTAATGGTGGGAAAACGAAGATGTTTGCTAAAGAATATTCATAAGAAGACAACCTGGAGGTTGCCTAAGTGTCTCTTACGGAAGAACACTCGATGCCACCATATCCGCTTTATTCATGCAGTCGAATTCTCAGACAGGCATTTACATTCTAGGAAAGGCAGAATTAAAAAAAAAACAACAACTGCTATTTTGTATACTATTTTTTATGCTATCATACATACACTATTTTACTATCATGAAAACCTGACTCAGTAGGAATGACTTCTTGACAAATCAGGTCATCATTTTTAAAAGCTCAACACAGCTTACACAGATGGCCTTCTTTCTGGACACATATCTTAATAAGCCAAATCTGCTCTTAAATGGGCAAATGTACGTTCCTTTCCTCCGCCTGAAAGAAAAGAGGGTAGTTATCCACCCAGACACTGAGATGATCTTATTGTTATAAAGTCTAAGAGACCACAAGAGACACAGTTCTAACTACGGTGAGAAAAACACTTCAGTAGTTACTCAAGGTGAAAATGATCTTTCACAAATATCTTTCACTGGTCATGGGTTTCTATGTAGCGCCACCCATTATCACGCGCTTAGCTCTGGAACTGACTCTGACACTGGGGATCCCGCATAAATCGAGGAGGAAACTGCCCTTCTTCTGACTCTACCAGCTTCGTTTTTAACCATTACTGCCCATTTTAGAATCAAAATTTTTAATTCATACTAGCTGGCTATTATTAATTATTCTTCTGACTCAATTTTAAAATCATATTATTTCCATGTTCTTTAAAATAAATCAGTCTGGGATGGCTTTACTATCTTATCTTCTCAGAAATAAAGCAAAAGAAGAAAAAAAGAAGGCGACCAGCGATGTTTTATTTGTCTGTAGTCTCTAGAACATGGAGGATACTCAGTAACTATTAAGAAAAAGCATATTTATTAATCCTTAGGCAAAGTCAATTCTACATGCGAGAAAATTGCTGCATATTTCAGGTAAAAAAAAAATGCTATTACTAATAGAAATGTGGAGCAAATCCCCCTGGATTTTCCATATTGGTTGTCTCTGTTAATGAGACTCACAGGATACTTGCCTAATGCTCTGCTTCCTTTGGCTTGTACAGAAATGGGAAATCTTTTTACCTCCTCATTGAGAGATTTATAATGGTGAACGACCAGTTCTCTCTTCTTTTTAAATTATACTAGCAGCCCAGCTGTTCAGGGTGGGAGTGTGTGATAAAGTGCGCCCAAGGCCCACGTTGAATTTAATTCTTCCCTGGGTCTCAGGAAATAGCCATTATCCAGGCATGGAGAAGAGACAATCCCCTCTGGTATTTTCTTGTTGGTGCTAAGCCTGGTCTCATCTCCGGAGGGAGATGTGCTAACAACCTCCCAAGCGCTTCTCCATGCCCCAAGGCTGTGCGGCAATGTAACAGCGATGGGGCCCCAGGGACCATTTCTGGATACACAGGGGCAGGCGTGGTGCCCAGCCATCCCCCAGAAGAGGGAGGGTGTGCCCATTCCCTAGGAACACTCAGTCTCTGCCTCTTTGTTTCCTTCTCCGCTTCCTCTTTTCCTTTCTGATGTGCTGTGCCCAGTGCCACCACCTTGACAGGAAAGGACAGGGCAATGGAGCCGATTGTTTGCAGAATGTTTTACAGCATTGTCCTACCCAGGCCTACCCACAGCAGTCAAAGCCTACTTAACGTTACTCGTTAACCACTATCAGTATTTTTGCTTTCCTCCTTTTTTTTTTTTTTTCTGGGAAGCTTTTGCCTCCTACAGAGTGAGTGAAGTAACATTCAAGCCTGAGTGCCTGAGTGCATTTAACTTTCTTTTTCAAAACATGGGATAAAAATGCCCTCCCTTCTCCTGCACAAAGAATAATTACAAATTATGCAACCTGCTAATAGTACATATACAAAGAAAATCCTAATATTTTCCAGCCCAGTCATTAGCAAAACTTCTTCTTCTCCCTAGAGTCGATGGAAGTTATTTTACTTTTTAAGACTGTCGATAGTGAGAGCTACCCCTCCCCTCTGCCCTGGGATGCATGCATTACAGTCATGCATTCCACCAGAGGAGGAGGGAAAACCTCTTAATTGGCCCTTGCCTTATTTCTGTGATAATTTCTGCGTGGGAGTTAGGGAGGGCAGCTCCATGAGCTGCTCCCGCCGGTGAGTTTTATGATCAGGTTTGAAGAAGTTTGGGACCTCATCCTGCTGTGATTTCTGCCACGGAAATATTTTTGCTGCTTACTTATTTTTGCTTTACCACCTGGCAGTACCTATGTGTCTTCATTCACCCCTCTCTGTGGCTCCTTTATCTCTAAAGTAGATTTAACAGGTGCCCTTTAACTTAAGAACCAAACAAAACACTTTCCCTCACATGTCTTAGCCCTTCCAGCCACTGTGTCTTCGCTTTCTTCCTCACCCTCAAACTCTTCAAAGGTGGCGCAGCCCTGCTTTGTCTCTTATGCTCCATCCCTTCCTTCCCACCCGAGGCCGCCTCCTATCCTATGGCTCCTCTAGATCCTCATAACCTTTCAACTGACAACTCCTAATGGCTTAATTTTTCTTAGTTTCTCTGAGGGTTTGCTAAGTCAGCTTTTTTTTCTGGAACCTTCCATCCCCTTGTGTTCTGTGATACATACTTTTAGACATTCCTATCCTTCTGTTAACCTCTCCCCCTGTCTCCTTTGCTGGCTCCTCTTCTTCCTTGCCCCCAAATTTAAATATTTCCCAAGGATCTGTTCTCTATTTGCTTCCTTTTCCCCCTTCCAGAGATTTCATCCGCTCCCCAGGTTTACCATAGCACCTTCGTGTGGACGACACCAAAACCTTCACTTCAAGCTCAAACTCCTCTAAATTCCAGATTTGTTTCCAACTTCCTGCTGAGGTCTCCCACCTTGATGACCTGCTCACACAGCAGATTACAGATTTTCAGAGTCCACCTACTCATGCTGTCCCTCTTACCCCACAAAGTGACTCTTCTGAATTTCTGCCAATAGTGCAGCGACTTGAACTTGAAACCTTGGATTCTACTTACATTCTGTCCCCCTTCCCCCCCACCCATACTCTTCATCCACCCAGTTACCAAAACTTTGCATTTGACTTTTGCAACATATATCAAACCTGTCTCTTCCTCTAACCTTCAGCTGACACCCCCCTGGTTCATATGTTCATTATTTGTCATATAATCAGGACCAAAAGGACTCTAATGTAATCCCTTTCACTCCAGCTTCTCTCCAATTTGTTCATATTCGAAAGCTAATCATTTCAAGATACAGTGCTAATTATGTCATTTTTTTCATCCTTCCTCCCTCCCAAATCAGGTTCCAATGCTGAGCACTGTTGTTCAGAACTCTTCAATATGGCCCCAGTGTGTTATTTTAGACTCATCTCTCACCAGGTCTCCACACAAAGCCTGGCATCTGTTGGTGTGCAGTACACACTGGTAGGCAGGCCTCCTCCTGAATTTTGTTCACTTCTTCAGCTGAACTTAACTTTCCATAAAATATTCTCTCACCCTAACCCTGTCTACAACTTCTCCCCAGCATTTACAACCCATATTGGGCAAGTTGCTTACCCTTCGTCTATTTCCTCATCTGTGAAATGGGCCTAATAGTGCCTCTTGTCACAGAAATAGTGCTCAAGGTGCTTAGAACAATGCTGACATGTAGGAAGTGCTGAACTGTTGTTATTGTTATTATTAGCCATTCTCTGTGAGTTGGAAACTAGAAGGAGGAGGGGTCATTAATTGGGACTCCTGACCTTAAATATTTAGGGTCTGGAAGATTTTCTTTTCTTCACTTCAAGTACTGTCCCTCTTCATCTACTGGTTGACAGGGAGATGGCAGCTTAGCCTTTACTTTGTTGACAGTAGCTGCCACTCACTCTCTTGGCCACAGCCTAAGCTTTGTCATCACCCACTTGCAAAATCTTAAAATTCAATATCCTGGTCACAACTTAACTTTTCTTCTGCCTCATTGTAACTTGACTTCTATTTTCCCCCAGCCTGAGAGCCTAGCGTTGGCTCTACTTCTCCTTCAGCTATAACCAAGGTTGTTAATTGCCACTTCCATCTGTGGAATGATTAATTAGAACTATTTGAAAGCTGTTAGGATCACGGTGGAGGAACATTTTCTGTCTATACACGCAGATCATGTGCACAGTCCAAAATGGACATGGAAATATTAACATGATATTTTCTAACATACTTTTTGACTATCAACAAATGTTTTTCTTGTTTTCTCCAATATTTCTCATTTATAGAGTGGACTCAATAAGGTCTTAGGAACTAATAGACATCAAATATTAGATGACTGTTTTTGGACTCTGGGAAGGGAATTTTATTGTCATCTTAAGAACAGTCCATACAGAGCAGGAAGTATGGCCACACAAACTCTTCTTTCATGTTCTACACTCAGTGGATTGCTAGCATCCCTAATTTTAGCCCTACAAGGGTGAGGGCTTTTCCTCCAATTTTTGGAAGCTTATTTTTCTGCAATCCTTCCATTTTCATAATTACCACTCTTTCTCTTCCTCTTCCTTATATAGTCAACAGGCATTGCAAATGTTTCCTTTTCCTCTTTTTAGGTGTACAAACCCCTCGATAATATGTGAGAAAGCACTTTGTAATCTGAAGCAG